TGTACAACGGTTTGCAGGGAGCGAACATAATGGCAGATCCTCTTTCCCAGACGAGTTCTTCGTACCAGACGGGTCTGCTCCCAATAAGTCGACCTAGGGATTAAGTTGGCTAGTCTTGGCTGGGAGCCAATCCAAGTTACGATCATGTGCTCATGGTTAGTGACGAAAGTTGTCACAATACGGGCTTTTCTGTTAGGGGGGTCCCTAGTGAGGGAAATAGGGGAAGGTCGTCTTTGCCTGCTGAGTGAAAACGTTTACGGTTGCTGATTTTTTTCATGTTACGTGCGCTGTATACACTTCCTCCTCTCGCTCGACGGCAAAATTTCGAGAAAGTCTGAGAAAGTTGTGGAAAATTGAGGAATTCAGGAAATGAAGCGTTGAATGGCGGAGGAGGGTTTGGGCTTGCTCCAAAGTTCCTCCCAGCGGCGGACGCAACAGCGACTTCTGGCTTGTCCGAAGGCTTTTCAGAACCTGTCACCTGCCACAGAGAAACAGCAAATTAGTGAACAACGGAGCATCTCAATAACGTTTCGAAATATTTTTACTGCTATGAAATTTGACGACATGAGAAAGATCGTTCAGTCTATTTCAGCAGATTTCAGCGAACAGTTCTAAAATGATGCGAAATTTTTCCCTTTTTATCAAATTTCTTTTTGACATTATCAAAATTTGTTAGTTTAGTCAAAAATTTCTCTGATTTGAGCCTCATTCATCTTCTTGCTTTCTATTTATCTATCTCTTTATCTATTTGTTCATTTATTTATTTGTCAATTTATTGATTAATTTGCTATATTTATTTACTCATTCATGCGGAGTGGAATCAGGAATTAATTTTTTATTATCTTCCTATATATCTATATATTTACCTACCAAAACCTCTATAAATATAATCAAAATTGTTACGGAAATTCTTTTATTTATCAAAACTTCTGTGATTTAGACTTGATCTTCTAGTTTTTTTATTTATATACCCTTTTATTTCGTTTATTATATTTGTAGTTTAATAATTCATTTCTTCATTTGTTAATTATTTTGATGCAAAAACTGGATAATACACATGTGAAACGGGAAAACCGCGAAAAGCTAAAAAAAAAGAAAAATTCTTTCCCAATGCCACGAGTATCTTTAAAAGGCAAATACGACCCTCTCGCCCCGTTCGTGAAAACAGGGAAAGCCAACTGATCAAAAAAAAAGATTCTCGCACCAGGTAAGACCACCCCTTTCCTACCGAGCGAATCGACCCTCGACTGAGATTTCCGAACGCACGACCCGTCTGTCTGCCATTGTAATTTGTGGTTGTCTAGGCGCCAGGCAGTACCTCAAGAGCACAGTTCACGCTGATCATGTATTCGGGCACAGACAAGCAATTGCCTTCCCAGTCGCACACCATTTTGCCTTACCATTCCAAAGAAGAGGCCTCAGGCGCAAGAGTTGACTCTCTTCGTTCATGTGGTCCCTCATTTGTGCATTATCCCCTTACATTGAACTATTTTTTTGTTATCTTGCTTTTCGGTAAGGGTATGTCATCGCGATGGGTAAAGGAGATTCAGTACGACCCGCTCCCACCCAAAATGTTCGTCTGATGCAACCTCCCTTCCCCAACTTAGCCACAAGTCTTCTTAAGTCTCCCTAGTTTTCCGAAAGATTTATGCGGTAATTTCTTCAGTCCAGATGCCGTGGCAGCGTGTAGCGGGAGGGGGGGAGAAAGAGGGGGAACAGAGAAGATATGGTCACCAACCGAGTGCTAGTTTCAGCTATCTCGAACAATAGTTGTACGATAGTTCTGCAGCACCGGCCGGCAACTAGAGAGAAGGGGTATAGCGATCATTGAAAAGGGAAAAGCAACGAAAACCATTAACGCAGAAAAACTCAAGCGTTTCGCAAAAAACCTCGAAGGTAAAATCGGCTATATTCCCTATGGCTAAGTACGCCCCGTGATGGGATTCTCCCAGAAGTACAGTACCCTCCTCTCGGTGTTATATTTGGTGAAATAAAGAGCTGTTCCTGAGAGAATTAACCATGACACGTATTTCCTTCGATACTGTTCATGAGTTTAGGGTGTCCACAAAGTTCGTTGGCCATTTGTAAACAGCGTCGCGTTAAGCAACGCGTTGTGATTTTGCATAGAGATTTCGCAATACTGAAAGTACTCGCGATGGGCTATCTTCTGAGCTAGCTAGCTCTAAATTTCCTTTCCTGCTCTTCCCACAATAAAGCAGTGAAGATGAGTGATAGTCACCACCGCCGATGTTTGCTGGACTACTACAACCTGGGCATCTCCAGACGTCAGGCCACGACCAGGATGCGTCAGCAGTTTGGTAATAACACCCCTTCTAAGAACTGGATGTCAAAATGGTGGACTCGCCTCACCAATGAAAACTATGGCATCGAAGATATGCCGAGGTTTCTGGTTCTCTCGCCACGGCGTCGTCCACTACAGCATCCTACCCAACAATGCCACAGTGACGGCAGAGACCCTCTCTAAAGAATTGCAGGAGGTCAAGGTGAAAGCTGCCGCCTTGTCCCAGAAACTTGCAAATCCGTGGTTGCTCTGAGACAACGCGCGCCCCCACAAAGCGAGAGATACTCAGGCCGTCCTGGACAGGCTGGGCATCAAGACGATCACGCATCCACCGTATAGCCCGGACATTAGTCCATGCGATTACCACATCTTCCGGTCCATGCAAAATTTCTTGGACGGAAAACAGCTGAAGAACGAGCGCGACCTCGAGGACGTATCGACAGGACGGCGCGAGTCGCGCGGCAGTTGGGTGGGAGGATGGAGTTGCCTCTCTACCCGATCGTTGGCGAAAGGTAGTGGGTATGCATGGAGATTATATCATGGACCGGTAAGTTCAACTTGGTGAGATATCTTTACCAGCTCTGAAAAAACGAATGGCCAACGAACTTTGTGGACACCCTAATACTTGGCACGAAAAACGCGTGAGTTCTCCGGCTCATTGTGCGGCTTTTTGGTTCTATTGATCATCGCCGATGTTTTATTGGAGTGGTAAACTACTGTAAAAGGTGTTGCAAGTAGCATGGATTTGTCTAGTCGCTGAATTACATCAGCAAATATAATACAAGTTTGAACTTAGTAAATACATCAGTCTATATGTCTCGCTAAGGAGTACAAACAAACATTTTGATGCGGCAGGAACTATTCCCCCCCCATTGAATACATCAGCTATATGTCTCGCTAAGCGTCAACAAACATTTGATGCGGCAGGAAACTATTCCCCCCCCCCTCTAAGCGAAGAGCGCCAAGCAAAGCATTCATATCTTAGGCCTTTCTTTTTTATTTTTTCGATGTTGTCTTTTCTGACAACCTAACCATCACCTACCGTTACTAGTGGACTTTATTTGTTCAAAACTGAAAATCTTTCAGAAATGACTTTCCACTCTTGGCCAAGTCTTGCTGTGAGACCGGCGTCGAAGCGCTTGTCAGTAGGATGATTTGACATTTTATTCTGCATACTGTGCCAGGCCTGTGCTCATACCCGCCTGGTTAAAACCCCAATAGTAGTACCGTCCTTAGACCTCTCGGTGTTCGTTACTTCAAGGTGTTGTAGCGTCGTTGAGGCGACAAATCTATTGGTTTCATCCTGCGACTGGAGGGAGAGTTCTGCATAAAAACTAAGGGAAAGAAGCGATTTTGGGCAAGAATGTAGGCATTTGCTTCTTGGCGGCGAATAAATATTGGGGAAAAAACCTGCCACGCCCCTGCCTTCAATAGTTCCTACATTCCTGAATGTAGAGCATATGCCCAGCCTATTCTCCATTCAGTCACCAGGCTGGTACTACCCTGTGTCGAGCGCATCGCCGAATTTTGTCATATTTTTGTGAGGGGGGGTGGCATGGAGCGGTGTTGGGTCTGTGTGCCAGCGTTGCACACTGCCAACTGCTTCACCACAACTACCTATGCCCCCCGTCCCCAGTTGCTAGAATATTGTGAACAAACTCATTTTCAATTTTAAATTAAAATAATATTTACAGGAGTGCGCGCTTTCACGCCGCTGAAAAGCCCAAAGGAGAAGCGAAGCAAAAACCACCTCGTAGTAAGTTGTTTTTTGTTTAGAGTACGACGTTAGTAAGTGCACACATGGTTGTTGCACTAGTAGTCGATCAATACCGGCCGAATATTAGCATTTCATTAATTCGTTGCCTGGTTTTCGTGTTGTCGGTGGACCAGACTGTAGTAGCAGTCACAGCGCCAACCAGTGTGACCAATGGCTCTCGTGAAACTCGCTTTTATTCTGTTCTTCGGCGTTATCAGTATAAGAAAGGTATGTGGTGCAACTGCCAATTGTGGAATCGAGAATTCAGCCGACGAAAAATTCATCATAGATGTTATGCGACCAATACTTGTACTAGACGTATTTTTGCAGTACGGTAACCAGCGCTATTCGGCTTGGGAGGGGCAGTTTGCACTTTCGCTTTTTCATATTGTTAGTTCCTGTTAGCTTAAAGGATCCATTTTGGTAAGACTTGTCAACTCGTGTGAAGCGGCGGAATGGATCAAGTGAGCTTTTTGGTGACAAGGCTTTACATGTCTCCCAGCCTTGCAGGCCTTCGCTATGTACCACTAAGAGCCTCCACCAAGCCGAATAGCGCCCGCTGAGTCCCTCCCCAACGACGAAATACAATCAGCACCTGGATTCTACAACAGTGGTCCTGGATAATTGAAGGGGGTCGTATCTCGCTGCTATGGCGGCATAAAATAATAATTTGGGATCTAATATGAATATCGTTTTCTAAGGTGATGGATTTGATTGGCAAGCATTATTGAGCTCACTCTTACAATGATTTCAGAAGTTCATTCGTCTTTTGTTTCCACTAAAAACCCTCATCTCCCATTGCAAGATCCAGTTTCGAAGAAGTTCATCAATGTTTTTAGGAGACCAAATCGTTTGCGATGAACCTCTTTCGTGGTCAGGCCGTTACTGAACAGATTTCCCTATCCCTTGAAACTGGACGACGATCAACGAGAAACCCTAAACATGTTCATCACACCCACTGAGAAGTTCTTCGAAGAGGTCAACGACGTCGTTAAGTGAGTTAAGTCCCTTCCAATTTCGATTGGGCGCCCTAATGAAGTGACCTTTTTCAGAAACGACGAGACTATGCAGATCCCCATGGAGGTGTTGAAGCAGTTCGGTGAACTTGGAGGTTTTGGCGCTGTTGTCCCGCCGGAATACGAAGGAGCCGGTATGTGCAACAGTCAAATGGCGAAACTCGCTGAAACCATCGGCGCCCATGATCTGGGATTTGGAGTTGTGATGGGCGCTCATCAGGTGAGTCGACAACTCCAATGCAAAGACAGATTCCACGATAACGGGATGAGTGGAGAAATGACCGGAGACTAATTGCCATTGTTCCTTCCTGATTGGCGTGCCCGCGCCCTTTATTAGAAGGGGTGCAGTAAAGTGGAAACCGTAACGGTTATAAGTCTCCGCCCATCGGTTGTCGCGGAACGTGTTTTTGAAAAGTTTATAGAATTGAGAGCGAAAACTCTTTCCATTTTGGCTGTGACCTTTTCTGGATAATTCACCATTTATTTTAAGATTTCTTGTTTACTTTCCTAAGGCTACCATCCCTTCTGTGCTCCCTGTCAAGGGTAGGTCACTGCCTTACTGTGGCTCAACCCTTTTCTGATCTCCTCCTTGAAGCCTAAGTTGTGCCTATATAAATTTTCCCAACTTTGAATGGGCTGTGAAGGCTCTCCTAGAAACACAGCAGAGTCCACGTAGATTAGGTGGGCGGAGACGAAATAGCATGGTGCGTTCTCCTTTGGTGCGTCCCATCATTCTGCATCCTTGGAGGCCGTACAAAAGTGGAGCTCGGTGATGAAAAGAGGCGACTGTAATTGTCCCACCCAGAACATTGCGGATTGTGCTTTTAGCCCTATCTATTTCTCAGCCCCTTCAACTTCCTTATTGAATTTCAGTCAATCGGATACAAGGGCATCCTTCTGTATGGTACTGATGCTCAGAAGAATAAATATCTACCGGATCTGGCAACAGGACGTAAATTCGCAGCGTTCTGCCTTACCGAACCGAGCAGTGGATCTGATGCCAATGTGAGTACCGCTTTACAGTATTTCTGGCGTTACTGCGATCAAAAATCGATTCAAATGCTACTCAGACATCCAACAAAAATATATTTCATTTCAGTCAATCAGAACTCGTGCCGAAAAGTCCGCCGATGGAAAGCACTACATCCTGAACGGTGGTAAAATCTGGATCAGTAACGGTGGCTTTGCGGATGTGTTCACAGTGTTTGCACAGGTTGTGATGTACATATTTTTTCAGTGATTTGATTAATAATGGCTACTTAGTCTCTCAAAAAGCAGTTCGTGATGAACAAAAGGGCGGAGATTCATTACCACGGTGCCCTTGATTGACGCGCTCCTCTTTGTCATGCTTAGAGAGGCGCATCAAGGAGATGGGCACTGTCACCAGGAGTCTGTGCCCATCAAGCTATCGCGAGATTGAAGTGTGTGGGCGGGCCTGTCCGGTATCACCCTTTATTTCTCCCTGTCCCAGATAGCTCCGCCCATATGCTCGCCGTGGGCTTTGTCCTAGATATATCACGAGGGCTTTTTTCCTCCAATACACGATGTTAGCAATCTTTACAGACTCCGGTAAAGCAGCCCGATGGCAGTACGAAGGACAGAGTGTCAGCGTTTATAGTCGAGCGAGCTTTCGGCGGTGTAACTAACGGTCCACCAGAGAAGAAAATGGGTATCAAAGGATCCAACACAGCCGAAGTTCACTTCGAAAATGTTAAGGTAATGATTTGACGAAGTACTATGCTTTAATTCTTTAAAATTCCGATTTAGTAGGCGGTTGTGAAGAAACAACTCATTCGGGTCAACTAATCAGTTGACAGTGTTATCACTACTCACTATTAAAAATTTCACTAACATTCCAGAGAAAATCAATAACTTGGCTTCCAGACATACTAGTATCTGAGAAAAGAAAAGGGGCGTTTCGTCTTGACACGCTCACTAAAGCAAAATATGCGGGGATTCCGGGTCTGGACCCTAACCTATTGCAAGATCTAAGTTAGAATGAATCTAGCGACTTCAGATACTGCAATGTATCCAGCGAGTAAGATTTCAATCATAGCCGAGTACAGCCCCAATACCTCTCCTTCATCTCACCTATCATCTTCCTACGTTTTCCCAATTCCCTACCACTCCCGCGGTGCTCTTTCCCAAAATTTTCCAGTTTTCCCTGAATATTGCTGTAGGGGTAGGTGGGAGGGTTCGAGAGATGAGAAACGAAAAAAGTTAGCCAGGAAACGTCACACAGCACTGAAGAACGCAGTTCACTTGCACTTGAGAAAGATATTCCCATCACAGTCGCCCAATACTCGACACCTCAGCCGCGAATCGCCCTCTCTTTCATTGAGGTAATTTCCCGGCGATGTTCACTTGTGCACGTGAAACGCGGGAAGACAACAATGAAAGAACTTCCCCAGGCCAAATACTACCCGCGTTCCTACCCCCCCCCCCCCCCCCCCCCCGCCCCCCAGCAAACCCCCGCATTAGGGTTCCCCATACGAGGCTTTGTAATTCCGCCCACTTCTTAACTAGAAGTGTATCATCACGCGAGCTTCATTTTCATCGAGAAGTTCTTCACTTGGAAATACTGGTCGTTTTTTTATTCACGTCTAAGCCAAACTACAAGGACAGCGATCACGCTTATCGTTTGGGCAGAAACATAAAACAGCGGGTCATTAGCGCTTCCCACTAAGTTGCGTGAGCTTTCCCATAAGTGCGCCCCCTCCTTTTTTGCGAGAATCATGCCATTAGTGGCGTGTGGCTAGGCGCTGACTCTGCCACCTTGACCAACGTGGGCCGCTCCGCTTTCGAACTTAGTCTATCTTCTTCTTCTTCTCCCTAGCGTTAGTCCCGCGCCGTCGCAGGGTCCGCTGATCTTGTTAGACGTCGCCACTTGTTCCGATCCACTGCATCTTCTGCTGTGGCTTTCACTTCAGTGAGGTCCCTCTTGATGACGTCCCTCCATCTTTTCTTTGGGGCTCCTCGTGGTCGCTTGCCCTCCACCTCGAGTTCCAATGCCTTCCTTATTGGGTGGTCTTCGGGCCTCCTCAGTACATGACCGTACCATCGCAGTCGCTGCTCTCGTGCCTTCAGCTGGATAGGAGCCGTCTGTGTGACTGCTCTGACGTCCTCGTTTCTGACTCTGTCGAGTCGTGTCCAGCCGCAGGCCCATCTCAGCATCCTCATTTCAGCTGAGTGGAGCTGCCTTTCATGGTTCTTGCAGATAGGCCAGCACTCACTGCCGTAGAGCATTGTAGGCCTTACCACAGCCCGGTACACCTTGCCCTTGAGCGTTCTCGAGCACCGCCGGTCGCACAGGATGCCAGTGGACTCCCTCCATTTCATCCAGGCTGCGTTGATTCGGGCCATCACCGCCTGGTCCACGCTGCCATCAGCTGCTAGGTTGCTCCCCAGGTACTGGAAATCCTCGACCCTTTCGATGTTCTCGCCATGGCGATCTACGATGACTTCGGCGCACTCTTCGGAGCTTAGGAACTTGGTCTTCTTACGTTGGCAGCCGGAGTCCATTCGCAGCGCACATCCTGCCACCGCTGCACCTTGTCCTGAAGTTCCTCCCTGCTGTCCGCTATCAGGGCGATGTCGTCAGCATAGAGGATGGTTTTCAGTGGTCCCTCCATGAGTTCTTTTGCCATGACATCTAGAGTCAGGAGGAAGAGGAACGGGCTGAGGGCTGACCCTTGGTGTACCCCAACCGTAATGTTTACCTCCTTTGTCAAGCCGTGAGGGGTGCGTACAGCTGCTTTAGCCCCATCGTACATGTCCTTCACTATGGAGATGAGGTGTTCCGGAACGTTACGTTCTCTGAGCGCTCTCCAGAGTACAGGCCTTGGCAGGCGGTCGAATGCCTTCTCAAGGTCCAGGAAGGCTAGGTAGCAGGGTCGCCGCTTCTCTCGGTACTTCTCCATCAGCTGTCTGGCGATGAAGATGGCATCGGTGGTGGACCTCTCGGGCATGAAGCCGAACTGTTCCTGCGAGATAGGGACAAGTTCCCTCAGCCTAGTGTTGACCAGGCGCTCGTACAGCTTCATGGTATGGGGAGTCAGCTTGATGCCGCGGTAGTTGGAGCACTCCGTCGCGTCCCCTTTCTGTTTGAAGATGGGAACGATTGTGCTGCTCCTCCACGCATTCGGCATCCTTCCTTCAGCTGTTACGTTGTTTAGGAAGTGCGTGAGCCAACTCACCCATCACTCTCCAAGCCGGCCTCCATGCCTCTATCAGGTACCCGTCTGGACCTACTGCTTCCAGCTTTCAATTCTCCTAGCTCCCGGCGAACTTCATCCTTCGTCCAGGGAGTGATGGGACCTGCCGTCGCCTCTATCTGTGGGCTATCCTTGCGAGGGAATTCTTCGTTCAGAAGTCCCTCGAAGTATTCTTCCCACCTCTTCCTGACTTCGGCTGGTTTCCTGAGAATGGCCCCGTTGCTGCTCTTCACAGTCTTTACGACCCTGATGTCCTGAGCTGCGCGATGTCGAGCTTTAGCCAGGCGGAGGACGAACTTTCCCCTTCTCGTCCTCCAGCTTGTCGTACAGGGCGTCCATTTCCGTATTCTTGGCCTCAGCAACGGCCGCCTTAGCGAGTCGCTTGCAGCTCTTGTAGGCAGCGTAGTCTTCTGGGCTCCGTGTCTTTTGCCAGCGTTTGTAGGCTTCCTTCTTCTGCTTGACGATCCTCTGGACTTCCTCGTTCCAGAACCAGGCTGCCTTGTCTCCTCTGATACCACCTCGCGTCTCTCCCAGGACCTCCCTTGCACACTGTAGGATGACCTCTGCTGCGTAGGTCCAGGTGTCCTGGACTGGCCCATGTGGGTCTGGGGCCCAGCCTCCAGTATTCTTCGGCCGAGGCTATCCTTTTCTACCCTGCCCATTTTCCACCACCGAATTCTTCGCTCTGCTCTCACCCTTGTCTTCTTGGGGAGGTCTATGGCGATGTCTGCCAGGAGGCCTGTGCTGAGGGCCCAGCTCTTCCCCAGGCAGTACCTTGATATCCTTGATGGTTTTGAGAGACGATCTTCTGACCAGGACATGGTCGATTTCCGTTTGTCTCCCTCCACTGCTGTAGGTTACCTTTTGGGTCCTCCTTTTCGCGAAGAAGGTGCTGATTGCTAAGTCGTGGCGGGCTGTTGCTAGGTCAAGGATTCGTCCTCCCTCAGCGTTCTTTGTCCCTATTCCTTGACCTCCGTGCACCCTTTCTAGACCCCTTCTGTCCCTTCCAACATGGCCATTCAGATCTCCAGCAGCATTATGGTGAGATAGTTCCTCTTTCCGGAACGATCTTTAGCCTCGTCCAGGTCAGGTAGAACTCATCTTTTTCCGCTTCGGAGCAACCGGATTGTGGTGCGTACACGGTCAGTACTGTCCAGTACCCCTCCTTCGTGTCCATTCTCACTCCCATGATCCGGTCACTGATCCTGTTCACAGTGGAGACGCAGTCCTTGAGGGGATTCTGCCACCGCTATGGCAACGCCATTCCGTTTGGTGTCTGCTCCATTGTAGAAGAGTTTGACGCCTTCTCCAATCTCGCGGGCCTTCGCACCCTTCCATCGCGTTTCCTGCAGGCATAGGACTTGGATATTCCTGCGTCTCATGAGGTCGGCAACCTCACGAGACTTCCCGGTAAGCGACCCCACGTTCAGGGTCCCAATTCGAACTAGCTTCTTTGGCCGAGGTCGTTCACCCCTCGGTAGCCCTCGCATACTGACCACAGAACTCGGGCGAGGGTTCTGCGCGCCACTTCCGGGTGACGTCCTAGCTTTTACACTGATTCTATTGCGACTTTTCATGGTTGTTGTGACGGGTTCCTCCATCAGCCGGCCTGTCAACCTGGGCCTGACGCTGGTATCGTCCCCATTTTTGCAATTTTTGCAAGGCAGGTTTGTGCCTCGGCAGGGATCGAACTCGTGGCTCAGAGTGAGATTATGAGTCTACACTCTTAACCACTCGGCTATCCCTGCCTCTTTCGGACTAGTATACTTCAGAAAATACATCACTACTGTGGTGGAAATCAAAAAAGAAAGCGATTTTCAGGTTCCCGTCGAGAATCTTCTTGGAGTGGAAGGTGAAGGATTCAAAGTGGCGATGCATATCCTGAACAATGGCCGTTTCGGTATTCCAGCTATGTGCACCGGCGCTATGAAGCACTGCATCCAGAAAACGGTAAGAATCTGTAGACAAAGGGATTTTTAAAAATGAAGAGATTAACCAAAAATGCATTGCCCATTAAAATGACGTGGCCCTTTCTTCCTCACAGTTCACTTTAGCACTTTATCCATCTGTACGACGATCACATGGGAAATCTTTCCCGTTCCAATGGGGCAAGTAACAATACTTAACATGCCAATGAACGTTTACAATGACCCATCACAGCAAACCACTGGACATGTGCAATTATTCCGCTCATCCCAAAGAAAAAGAATATGGTCCGTGGACGACTTCTCATGAGCGAAGTAGAGCTTGGCCGGCTAGGGATAGGCCGTGGGCCAACTTCTACCGTCCTCAGCCTCGGCTCCGTTCTAAACTCGAAGAAAACCCGATAATTCGGTTTTGATTTCGATACGTTTCAGGTCGATCACGTAACCCAACGCGTACAGTTTGGTCAGACCTTGCAGGAGTTCTTTAACGTTCAGGTAGGTATTAAAGAGTTTGTTCTATTTCTCACAAAAAAAAACAACTTCTCTATCGATTTAACTGCTTCAGGAGAAGCTCGCAAACATGGTCGCTCGTCACTATGCTACCGAATCCGTTCTATATCTGCTCGCCTCAAATATGGATCGCGGAATTCAGGACTATCAGCTGGAAGCGGCTATTGGAAAAGTCGCTGCATCGGTAGGATTAACCCTATTTCACCACGGAACATAGGAAACGGCAATCCAGCTTCACTTAACTGCGCCCCCAGTGACATCTTTGTTAGGCTGACAGTTCTGAGACGCGTGCGGTTGCGACGCGGTCTGCGAACTCCTTACCATACTGGAATGAAACGCAGCGCGTACTTCTTATGAAAAATATGATACTTTAACTGAGAAAATGGAGGCGTTCAGGAAATTCCAATATGTATCAAATCCTAGAAATCTTGTAAGAATCTAGAATCTGGTTCCTACAGCAAAGCTTTTATGAGGGTTAGGTTAAATGGTGCTTGTTGTAGAGTTAATAGCTAGCGATCAGCTCAGGGCC